TTCTCTTTTTTTTACAGTAGTGATGTTGATGATGTACAAGTTGAATAGAATTCAATTTCATGCTCACATATGGAGTTTCCAGCCATTATTTGAGAAAACTGAAAATAGCTATTTTTATTTCTTTAAAATAACTTCATCTTCCCATCTAACCCCACTTTTTGCCATCGTAATTTTTTGAATTTACCGCCATACCAGTGATCAAGTGACATGTGTCAAAATCTACTTTTAAGTAGTCAGACATGCATAATAGATCCCCAAGAAAAAATGTTTCGATATTCTACTAATTAACTTTTTCTTAACCAATATATAAGAAAAAGGGTTCCAAGGAAGATACCCACAATTACAGAAATGTTTGTCTGCAAAGTCAGCTTGCTAAGATAATTGATTATTGTTTCAATAAGCGTCTTAGCAACTTCTTGGAAAACCATAAATTGTTAAATAACTCACAACATGGATTTCGGCCTAATAAATCTACGGAGACAGCTATGAAAGAATTATGTGATGCTATTTATTCTAGCTTGAACGATAAAGGACACCCAATTGCTTTATATTTCGATCTCAGTAGAGCTTTCGATACTGTGAATCATGATCTTCTCATTCAAAAATTGAATCGAATTGGAATTCGTGGAGTAGCCAATAGCTGGGTTGCTTCCTATTTATCTAATAGGACCCAAATTGTCACTATAGATTCATTCAAATCAGAGTCAAGTGGTGTTTCCATGGGTGTACCACAAGGTTCAATACTTGGCCCGCTGTTTTTCATCATATTTGTAAATGACATGATTTTATCGTGTAGTTCGCCTCGAAACACCATTATTTATGCCGACGATACAAATCACATAATATCTCATGATAATTTAGTCGAAACCATACATCAAAGTAATGTATGTGCAGAAGAATTCTTCAAATGGTGTCTTGATAATGGATTGATCATGAATATTTCAAAAACCTATTTCATGCTTTTCCTGCGGAAAAACATCAGTTGTAATGCGAGCCCTCTTGTGAAAGTAAATCATAAATCAATAGAACAAGTCTCAAGTATAAAATTTCTTGGCGTTACAATTGATGAAAAGTTGAGTTGGAGAGACCATATTGAAAATCTGGTAAAAAAATTAAGCAGTATCAATTTCATTATCAGACAGCTGAAGGGCACTGTATCTTTCGATGTTCTCAGAATGGCATACCATGGACTAGTATCGTCGGCACTAAGTTACGGTTTGATCTTCTGGGGAAATTCACCACATAGTAACAAAGTATTTATTGCACAGAAAAAAATAATAAGATGCATGATGGGTATTCGAAACGATGTATCATGTAAGGATTACTTTAAAGCCCTGTCAGTTCTCACTTTACCATCTCTATATGTATACCTTTTGACATTGAATATAAAAAAAGAGCAGGATATGTACATAGAAGGTAATGAAATTCACCATCACCATACTCGAAATAAGAATGACCTTCGTTTACCATTTTCAAGGCTTACTGTTGGACAGAACTCTCCTATATATCAAGGAATATTATGTTTTAATCATTTCAACAATATTTTTGGTGAGATAAAAAATTTCAATACTTTCAAAACAACAATATTCAATTATTTATGTCAAAATGCATTTTATTCCATTGAGGAGTATCTAACTTCGAGATGATCGAATTATTCTATTTACATTTATGTATGTGTGAGAGATTGAATGGAAATGTATGTATACAGTGTTTTGTTTTGTGAATGGGGAGAGAGAATGGAACTTGACTAGTCTGATAAGTTTATATGTAACTATATGTGTAAACTTCAATGATGAATAAATATCTATCTATCTATCTATCTTCATGTGTTAAGAACTTTATGGATGATACTGGATCTATATGTATCTATTATTTTGTGTTCTATCATCACTTTTAATTTTGTTTTGAAAAAATTACATGTTATATTATGATGTTATTCTACAAGATTTCTGAAGGGAATAAAAACATAGTTTTTTTGTTTCTTTTTTCTATTTCGCTTTGGGTGAATGAAATTTGTTTGTTTTTTTGTTTTCAAATGAATTAATTAAAAAAAGTCTGACTTAATTCAAAAAGTCGGACTTTGATGACTTTTTCACAAAAGTCATGACTTATTCAAACCCTGACTACAGGTCACTCGAGGGTAAACGTAACAACACGTTATCACGAATTGTGGGTGGTGCCTTGTCAGTTCTCAGCATTCAGCACATTGTTGCAAAGTCTTCAACATCAGCATGATATTTTGTTATGGAGTATTAGAGATATTTAGACATGCTGGTTGCTCGAAAAAGTAGAGAATGAACTATAATATCATGGCTTCCTTATATTAATGATTTATCTCGTGTTTCATTCAACAACAGGCCACTAATCAACTAGGAAAGAGCCAAATACTTATAAAGTGGAATTTAATGGTCACAAATAGAGAGAAACCCAGAGTCATTACCACAATATAGTTCATAAAATGAACGAAAAATATAGATTACGAGAGAAAAACAACTACTTTCCTGGCTATATGCCACGCAGAACATTCCCGAAATCTATGCAATAATATTCGTATAGACGAATAAAATCGCAAGTGTTTCCTTCCTAAAGATTTTTGATAAATTGATTATAATTGGTGACTTGACACAACCTTGCTTCATGAGTAGAAATCGAAGATTATCTGACCAATAACGAAACAGCATAAAAACTGACGTCACCATTTGTGGTGCCCCCTGCACAGAGCTAAGGCTGTTTTACTCTAAGATGTTGCATAGTTTCCCAGAGGTGCCGTTATCCACACCAAGGGTACCCACAACTTGGATTGATTGCCGCGACCACATGAGCAGATGTCCAAAATTATTCCTTCTTTGCACACAGAGTGATCTGAGTGACCGGAACAAAAATGTCCACGAAACGATCCATCAGCCGAGCAGCATGGAAGGAGAATTGACCAGGAGAAGCCGATAGAAAAGATTGGAAACTGAAGAGGATACCATCCAAGACATGTTGAAGATTAATGAGTATTAAGTTATAGTTACCAAACTGTCACTCAAACTCATAGACATGAATTCTTGCGTCAACGTTGATTTTTGTGGAGCAGCTGTCGACCAACAACACTGCAAGATGTGACCATGTGACTCCTTCAAAGACACGAATGTCAGGGTCGAAATTGAATACAACGAATACTATACAGGGTACAGGGTTACTGGTAATTCGATACATTTCTTTGGGGATGTGATAGGGGAGGTGGTCAGGAGCGAATTTATTCCTAATATGCATTATGCAAAGTGGATGGTTTTCGAGATACATTTTTTTCCCAAGGGTATAGAAGTTAGTTTCCCGAAAATCTGCTGTACATTTTTTCAACCTTTCAAGTAGAAAACATATGTTCAACATTATATGGTCTTATGTTTGAAATGAAAAAAGTCAAGAAATAATTTAGATCATTCATAAATTGAAGAGAGGAAGTAACAAAGGTGCTAAGTGCCATAATTTCATGAATTGAGATATTTCCGTAGAACGGTGTTGAACGACATGCTTTATGACCTGACAAAAGCTGTAAGTTCCATGAGTAATAATATCCTTTCAACAACAACAATTAGATGGAGCCAGCAGTAAGCGACAACGATTATTTGCCATCAAAGGGGGCAAGTACCACAGTGAATTGCTGTATTGTCGAATCATTAGACACCTCGTTCTTTTGTCATTTTTTTTATTATTGAGATCAATGTCAGTTTGACTATTGCATATATCCTCATTTTCGAGTTTGAAAAACTCCAAATTATATCAGCAATACTTCCTGATCCTATTTTGTTATAAAAAAATGTGGCACTTACCTCGTTTCTATTTTTTTTTTCAAGAAATAATTTTTATATTCAGCTGTGTTTCATAACAGATATCGGTTTTAGTTAGAATTGGTTTCCCGTTGACCTTTCATACGATTTTTGATGCTAATAAACGAAAACAACAAATATTGACGTTTTTATTACTTTTTTCTTAAATATCTCGAAACTTCATTTTTGGCACTTAGCACCTTTGTGGAGTGGAAGTCACTCTTCAATTATAAGTCGTATTTTTGTTTGTGAATTGTGGATTTTAACACTTTCTAGCGGTTATTTTCAGAAAAACCACTAAGCCATATTTGTCAATTTGTTATAACTTCCTTGAGGCAATAGCTATCTAACTGGGTACACCTGGAAACACCTGTAGGGGATCCGGTAAGGAGGGTAGAATTCTGCAGGTTTATGATAAATTCTGATCCAGGATATAGAACTTCCTTATCCGAGGGCAAATTTTCATAACCTTCATTATTGGGCCGTGAGTTATTTTCAGATGATTTTTTTAAACTAGATGAAATTATTGGCAATCTTCTGGGACCGATTAGGGTATGGAAAATATTCTGATATCGTCTAAGTAATGATCTTTGGATTTCTAAGCCTATCAAGCATCGAAATATCATTGTATTCAGGCCACAGCCAACTTCATGTATTTATTAAAATGCAATTCAACAGCCAATTAATGAACGAATATCAAATTGTGAGACATAGTTACATACATGGTGGAATTAGTATGATGCGCTACGACGCATCTTCAAATACGTCACTGCGAGTAAGACAATTGCTAGCAGTCTGAGCTCACAGTTATCAGTTCGCCCAAGTCGCCGTGATCATTTTGGTGCGAGTATAGACTCGCAAATGACGCTATGCGCAGAAAAGACGAATTCAAGATACCTGAGTAGCACCCCAGAGAATTTCAAAGCGAATAAGATAGACTAAAGAAATATACGGGGTGCCATTTGAAAAAAAAAAGTTGGGTCTACTTCCAATCAAACAGGTGGTTGAAAAAAGTTATCATTGGGTTCAAAGGAATATAACCCTTGTGGATTTCAAATTTCTATCCCTTCAAATAAAAAAACTACAAGATGTTACATGTCTCCTGTGTCACCCAGTATATTTCATTCCACTTTGAGCATTTCGGCATTTCCGTAGCTCAAATATTCATTCTTGGGTCTGTAAGCTCACCTTTTGATCGATTCAGAAGTGGTGGCCGCGTCCTCCGCCTCGACGTCGACGGTCTCGCAAGGCGTCGGCGCCGCGCTCAGGCTCTTCAGCACGTCGTAGTTGATCTTCGTCGATATCTTCTTCTCCTGCACGATCTTCTCGATGGCCTCGCCGGCCGAATTCGCCGGCCCGATCGCTTTCCTCTTCGTCGTGCGCTTGCGCTTCTTCTCCGGCTTGCCTTCGTCGCGTTCCTTTTGCAATCGCTCGGCCTTCACTGGAAGAGAAAGCAACATTGTTTTTACATCACTGGCTATGGAACCTACCATTGTTTAATACTGTCTGTAGGAAGATAACGACCAAAAAAAATCAAGGAATCCGCTTGCATTCTTCTGAACGGAGACAATAGCATTGCTTCCTGTTCAGTTGATACAGATAGATCATGGTATTCACTGAAAACTGAACATGAAAATGGTAGATTCAAGATCAATTGATGAAAACATCCTGTAACTCATTTGTAGACTAAAATCACCCATTCATATGCCAACATCAGTATGACACTGAGAAGTGTCAAACTATAAGCAGAGCACAACTTCCAAAGTGAAATATTTCGCATTTTCATGTTGAGAACGGGAGCAGATTCGTTCCCGAAACGTCCAAAGATAAGTAAAAATTCTATATTTTTTTCAATATATCGCTATTTCTTTCCTTCAAACATTTTTTCAAACAAAGTAGTGTCACTGACAAGCTACTGGATTTTTTTTTTAGACTCCCTGATGATAAAAAATTTGTTAAACGCAGTGACATTTTGGGGCAAATCATCTGATTTGTCCCACTACAAATATATTGAAATAATACGCATATTTATATTTTTTAGAAACGAGCAGAGAAAATCCCAAAAAATCAAGTAAAATGAATCTATCATTGTTTACTCATTTTCAATGATTAATGTTCATAAAATAAGTAAGGAACTCTCCAGTTTTATGTCCACGTGACGTACATTCTGAACTAGTCTGAAAACAGCTGATGGTGAAGAATATAGATAGCAAATAGCTAACGAATGAAAAACGATAAAAAAATAGAAGCAGAAGTAAAACTGGTAAACAAAAACATACATAACCACACATACACTCGGAGCAGAAATGCAGAAGGTAGTTGGCTTCATTCTGACAGGTTATGATCTTGTTATTGATGCATCGAAATATCTCGAATAAAGCTCGATCCTAAGGGAAAATATCATTGAATCAATGAATCACTATCGGCTATATTCAATGATATTATCCTTTCTAATTTACTATCATCGGTCAGAACATAATGAAGCCAACACCCATGGCTCCTTCCTCTTGTTGTGCCTGCCTGTCAGTATTTTGAGTGGTGTGGACTAGGGTCCCTTGTGTGGACGGACTCGAAGTATTATAGGCGCTGTAGCAAGATATAATCTGGCACAGGGAATCGTATTTTAACTTTTTGTGAATGTGTATTTTCAGAAAGTACGTCATAGGAATGGTGGAGGAGCCAAGTTCCTCTTTTATTTATTTTTTTCTGAAGTGAGATTTGATCTCACGAAAAAGGAAAATACGTATACATTATTTTTTTACAAACTTTACAGTGAGATAAAAACGTCAATATAGGAATCTTCTCCATTATATTTCAGAAAGCGTCAATTGTATTTCAGAATTCAATTCCATTTCAGAAAGCGTCATTTGTTTTTCAGACCAGGTACTTGTATTTCAGAAAGCCTCAATTGTATTTCAAAATAGTCAATTGAATTTCAGAAAGTGTCATTTGTATTTCAGAAGATATCATTTGATTGATTGATTTCCGGATTCCGAAAATGTATCCTGTATTTCTTTTACCAACAGGAAGACATAAATTGGGACTTCAGGACTGTGCCCATTTACTTTCCGTGGGTAAAAAATAAAAATGTCGAAATTTCGGAACTTCTTCCATGAAAACCGAAATAAGGTGAAAATTACGATCAGGGCGGAGGGATCAAGTGTGAAATACTCAGAATTTTTGAGATGGCTTCGACACCACTCGAAAAAATGAACGAAACTATTCCAGAGGCATAATTTTTTCAGATGATTAAAAATGAATTTGATAGAATTTAGATTACTCCTTTCCATAAAATCAGAGAAAAATGAGAGCAGTGGCATCAAGAACATAACGAATTGCAAGGGCGAACAATTTTTTTCTCAGAGGGCCCAAATACAAATTTCAGACTTTCGAATTGTCTCACATTAAGACAATGAGAATTACGACTCAAGGTGTGCGAGAATGATCCGGCTCGTAGGACCATGTAGGATTTTGCCTACAGAAATATGGGGCTGGTTCCCACTTGATACAGCTAGTGTAGTAGTTTGATAACGGAATTATATACTTTCGATATTTTAGTATGACATTGGAGGTTCTTTAATAATTTTTCAATAATATAACAAACTTCTGTAGTATTCATGACATCACCAACTGTATCTATAAAGGGAGAACAATAATAGTTATAAAATTATACAAAATGTAAAAAATGAAAATTGTGACCCCAGAGGCGTACTTTTTTTTCTGAAGGGGCCACGAATTAACATTTTAGACTCCAGTGACGTACGAAAAATATTTTTTAGGCCATTAAAATAGAATAAATCCCAAATATACGAACAACCCACCATTCTGCTCCTCTAGATGGTCGGAATTCTTCACGTTATTATACTAAAACTCCTTATCGTTCATAATATAGGTATCCATCTCATCATCGTCGATTCCCTCTGCCATTGCCGGCGCCGCCTCCGAAACCATCCGAGATTTGCCTTACCGGAAGATTTTTTTCACCGAAGGGGGTCGAGTATGAAAAACTCCAGAGTTTCGAAATCGCATCGACACAACACGAAAATGAACCAGAACTGCAATTCTAGAGGCTCACTTTCCTTTCCGAGGTTGGAAACAAAATTGAAAGAATTTCGAAATTTCTTCCATAAAATCAGAGAGAAAATGAGAACAGCGGCTCTAGGACGTGCAAAATTTATTGATGAAGGGGGTCCAGGATCAAAATTTCTGAATTTCGTGATTTTTTCGATACCATCCGGAAGCATACTGGAATTGCGACTGCAAATGCGAACTATTTTTTTCTCAGGGGGTCAAAATAAAAACTTCATACTTTTGAATTGTTTCACATCAAGAGAATGAGAATTACGATCTAGGTGCGAGAATGATCCGGCTCGAAGGACCATGTATGATTTTGCCTACAGAAATATGGGGCATGTTTCCACTTGATACAGCTATTGTAGTAGTTTTGAAGGTTCTTTAATAATTTCTCAATTGTATAACAATAATACAAAATGTAAAAAATGAAAATTGTGACTCCAGAGGCGTACTTTTGTTTCTGAAGGGGCCAAGAATTGAAATTTTAGACTTTCGAGGTTTCTTCAGAATCATCAGGTCGGAAACTAAGCATGAGACTCCAGGGACGTACGAGAAAATTTTGTTAGGACATTAAAATAGGAAAAATCTAAAAGAATACCGACAACCCACCTTTCTGCTCCTCCAAATAGTCGGCATTCTTCCGATGCCACAGAACGTTCTTGTACTCAAACTCCTTTTCATTCATTATATAGGTATCAATCTCATCATCATCGATCCCCTCCAGATCCATATCCAAATCGATGCGAACATCGTCCTCATGGGCGGTTTTGGGGGCGTTCGTCGTATCTTCCAAAGAGGCGGCCAGGCCCATGCTAGCCACGTCCGGCCCGAGGCCGATTTCGGGCACCGTCTCCGGATCATCGGCCGCCTCCTCGCCCAGGAGGGCAGTCACCGTTCGCATGGTGGACTCTTCGATGAAGCGTTGGGCGTCCTCAATCTCGTTGCTTTTCAAGGACACTGCGGAGCAGAGTTGTAGAAAATCATCAACCCTAACAACACGAGTACATACTAGGCACTTCCCAGGGACGTCCCTTATTTCAAACTAGGACATCCCAGGGATATCCTTCGCGGGACAAAGTACATACTAGGGACCTCCCAAGGACATCCGCTTTCAGACGAAAAGGGCATCCAAATGATGTCCCTTCTGGTACGTCCTTGGGATGTACCGAAGACGAAGAAGGGATATCCCTTGGACGTCCTAAGGATATCCCAGGGACATGCCTTCGACAAAAGAAAACAAAATGTAGGTCGAGTAGGGATTGAACCCGGGACCTTCAGCTTATCACGCACGTACCTTATTACTCCATTGGCTAATATGCCTTCTGAAGATTTATGTATTGAACAGATTCATTAACAGGACTAAACTACAGACAAAATATGGCTGGATAAATAAAACTTTGTTAGGATTCGGCTATAATTATTATTCTTGGCTGTTTGAAAATGAGGGGCATTATGCATTTACGATTTCTGTTTGCGAAAAATGGTCATTTCTTGAGAAGTTTTGAGACTTTATTCCTTATTTTCATTACAATTATTTTCCGGAAGAAATGCATCTTTGAAAAAATTCGACTCAATATTATGATGAAATTCAATGACTCTCTGATGTGAATGGATATCAAATATTCCAGGGACACGAATGGAATAACCTAGGGATGTACCGGGCGGGATGTCCACTGGACAACGACTACGGGACATCCCCTGGATGTCCCAATCATGTCCTTGTACCGCGGGACAAAAAAGGGACGTACCTAGGACATCCCTGTGTTGTTAGGAAAAGTATCTGATTTTTTTATAGAATTGTGATTTTTTTATTTATACTGATTCTTTTGGTACCTTGGAGGGGGATCACCAACCAGAACTGAAACATCGAGTATTTATTATTTCAAACACTCCTATATCAAAAAGTCCAATGGTCAATTACTACACTGTGTCGTTAGGGACCTAAATTAATATTTGCAACACATCTCACGCTTTTTTATGTAGATAATTTCAGAGCTTATATCAAACGTACCTTCATGGCCGCCATTTGGCGATACGTCAAATAAATGGTGACGTCAGTGTTTATGCTGTTTCGTTATTGGTCAGATAATCTTTCATTCCCACTCATGAAGCAAGGTTGCCAAGTCACAAATTATAACCAAGTTATCAAAAAGATTTTAGAGTCCTGTCGTTGAATAAAACATAATATTATAGTTAATTCTTGACTATTTAGAGCAACCAGCATGTCCAAATATGTCTTATTCTCCATAACAAAATTTTAAGTAAATGTTGGAGACTTGACGACATTGTGCTGAATGCTGAGAATTGACAAGACCACGCCCACAATTCGTGCGCCGTGTTGTCACGTTCACCCGAGCGTTTACCGGTTCAATTAATAGAGAGTTGAAGTAATCACTGTACGTAGACCTCCACGTCGACGTTAACGTACGAAAAATAACGTTTACGTATTGTCGTTAAATTGAGTTGAAGTCGCCACTTTGGTCGTCACTGTCATCATAACGTAATAATACATTTTGTTTTCGGTTTGTATTGGTCATTTTTGGTTGTGTGTTTAGATTCGAACATTTATTCCTGTCAAAATTAGAGGACTCCTTGATGCAGAACTCGTTGGTGATCTCGAATTTGATAATTTTGACTCATCGGCATATTTCGAGTATAGTTTGGTTAACGTACGTTGATATTTAAGGTATACGTGAAGGAACGTGAGATAACGTACACCCGTAAGCCCACTAACAACGCAAACGTGAAGAATTGGAAAATGCGCATGCGTAGCTGTCAATTTCTACGTTTTCACGTTAAAGTTCATGACAACACTTCAACTCTCTATTATAATCATTATGTACACACATGAGGAAACATTTTGAGACAATTGATTTTTTAATGCTAGGAATATTTACCAATATACAGGGTGGTCCGTTTTTTAATACGGAAAATTCAACAGCGTATAGTACTCGTTGAAATAATAAAAAAACTTCCTATGAACATATACAGTGTGTCCATTTAGTGCGTAATTCTTCGATATCTCGAAATCCATTATCACTAGAGAAAAAATTTTGGAAACAAATCTCTTCCGTTATTGAAGGTTCCATTTCAAAAATATTTTCAACAATACTGGGTGTTTTATAAAAGCGGGAGGAGTTGGAGACGAGTTTTTTCAAATGGAACACCCAGTATTTTTTATTCAAAATTCTTTCCGCTACGGTTTAGCTCTACATCGCTGTGAAAAAAATTGGATTCGGTTGAGGCGTTGCCAAGTTATGATTGATAAACCCATTTTTACTACTATTGGAGGGTCATGTTGAATTGGGTATGGTATATTCATTTATTAAAATTTTTAGAAGATTTTTGTCATACAGTAGTAGCAAGGTCTCACGTACACCAATCCAGTAATTTTGCGAGATTATTCTTCACAGGGTGCTGAAATTTACATTCTGAATATTGTAAGATTCAGACGAAGTTTACTAGAATTTTTCAAATGGAACACCCTGTATTTTTCATCACAGATTTATTTCGACATCATTCGCCCTTTCATCGCTGAAAAAAGAATTGAAATCGGTTGCGGGGTTTTCAAGTTATGAGTAATTTCCTTATGTTCATCACTATCTCAGGGCAACTTATGAGACATGGTTAGCATTGTTAAAATTTGAAATATTCCGTAGTTTTGTTACTTATGATTAAAATAATATGTACCTATGTGAAACAAACATGCCAAAAGCAAAACGCCTACCTTTAAGACAACTTCTACAACAATACAACCAATGGAGATTTGAATTGCGAGAATAAGGACGATTTTTTGAAATTTGGACCACTTTTATTTTCGTTTATTCCCACAAACCAAATCTCCATCAAACTTGAAGGAGGCAAACTCTATACATAATGATACAAACAATACTTCTTTACTACGCGGGTTTCGGGAGGGAATTCAGCAAAATTTCAAATAAATTCAAGATATATTTGATTGTGACGATGTTTGACAGGTCATTACACGAATAATGGAAGTGTACTTCGAGAAATTAATTCGTTGTCTGCAAAAAATCTGTGAAAGTAGCATTTTGGATCAATTTGTCAAATCCACTCTGTTTTAAATTCAAACTTGGAGAGCGTGTAGATGTTCCTATTGTAAATAAATATATGAATGGTCAATGACGAAATTTGATTATTTGAATGGAAGAACTGTGACGTAAAAATTATACTCCGCGAAATAATAGTAAAAATTAGGAAATTATCCATAACTTGACAACGCCGCAGCCGATTATGATTTTTTTTTCATCGATAATAAGGTGAAAGATGTCGGAATAAATTTGTGAAAAAAAATACAGGGTGTTCCATTTGAAAAATTCTAATGAATGCCATCTGAATCTTGCAAAATTCTAAATGCGAAATAGAGCAACCTGTTAAAGAACATGTCGCAAAATTACTGAATTTGTATACGTGAGACCTTGCTACTACCGTATGCCAAAAATATTTTCATAATTTGAATAAATGAATATACCATGCCCAATTCAACATGACTCTTCAATAGTGGTAAAAATAGATTTATCAATTATAACTTGGCAACGCCGTAACCGACTTCAATTTTTTTACAGCGATGTGAAGGTAAACCTCGGCGGAATAAATTCCGAATAAACAATACAGGGTGTTCCATTTGAAAAAACTCGTCTCCGAGTCATCCCGCTTTTATAAAACACCCAGTAATGTTGAAAATATTTTTGAAATAAGCAAATTGAGTAACTGAAGAAGTTTTTCCTCCAAAGTTTTTTTGCTATAGGTTATGGCTTTGGAGATATCGAAGAATTACGCACTAAATGGACACACTGTACTTTTAAACGCTTCGTTTTTGAGATATTGGGTGTCAAAAATACGCTTCTGAATATATTTTTTTAATCAAAAGTTAGAAACGGTAGATAAATTAACGAAATTTTTCACAGATACTAAACTTTTTATGCTTCATTAGATTAAATAAAAATTATTCATAAAAACTATTCAGTGGCGGCTGAATCTGGGGTGGCGAAGGTACAAATTTTTCGGGTAATTATTTTTCATTTATTTTTCAAGATTCAATAAAAAAAGCTCGCTTTTAAGATTTTATAAAATTTTTTAGTTAAATAATACTACTTGATATCAATTAAAAAAGTAGGGTATGCTCAGTTGCTCACTGTTCACTGTTTTGAAGACAAATAGACACTGCGGTCTATGGCCTGTTGTGACTCTTCTAAACGGCCAATGCTAACTAGATTTGATGCATTACAATGTTTCTTCCATTGGGTTTAGAGACATGCATAGGTTTGGTTATTATTTTTCCTTCTGAAACGAAGCTATTAGATAAGAAATCTAAGAGGGCAAAAAAATTGTATTCTCAAATAAATGCACGCCCCTGAAAATATGTAACTCATTCATGAACTGTAATAGGTCTAAAAGTTAGCTCATTGATATTTCCACAATAGATGTGAATTTCATCACAATCGGTTATAGCATTTCTGAGAAATCAATAAATAATTGATTTTTTAAAGAAACTTGAACACCCTATATCTCGAAAACGAAGCGTTTAAAAGTATATGTTCATAGGAAGTTTATTTATCATTTCAACGAGTACTATACGCTGTTAAATTTTCCGTACTAAAAAACGGAACTTCCATTGTGAAATGATTCAACTGTACAAAAATGTATGATGGAACTTATAAAATATGACAAGTGCCGTTGCTGACACTAGGTACCATCCCATTAGAACTGAATCACAGTACTAAATGACTAATGTTCTAATAGTTAGCAACAAATTTCACTGAAGCCAGCAGAAAGAGCTTGAAGTTGAATAAACAAGAAGAAGAACAAGTAATTGAAATAATGAAAAACCAAGATCTCGTTCCGTTCTTTATATGACAAATTGAAAATAATGCCATATTT